CACCTGCGCCCAGACTAATTCGATTGGGTTAAGTCCACAGTGATATGGTGGTAACCGTAGTACCGTTATTTGGCGATTTGTTGCCATTTCATCGATAACATATTTTTTCTGATCTTTATTAAGATTGACAAGTGTCAAAAGTTCCTTTTTCACCATATTTGTTTCAAAAGAAATGTTTTTTCCGGATAACCATTGAATTATATCGGCTTTCCTCCAAGCAGTCGTAGGCGTCCGCTCGGTCTGCCGTGAATGGTAACTGGCATTATCCATGACAATTACAGACCCCGGAGGAATAAGATCCAACATCTGTGTAAAATACTCTTCGAAAACATCTGCGTTCATGTCTTCGTGATAGTCACCTGTATTTTTAGATTCAAATAAATGTAAACCGCCATCTACAAAACCACTGGTACTACCTATATGTGTCACTATTAATCTTCGCCCTTTACCTGAAGGTTCCTTGAACCCTGTTGAAAGTCCATCCAAAAATGCTAGTCGAAAACTTTTTACATTTTTATCTTGCCATACTTTTGTTACAGTATATCCCTCGTTGATCCAAGTTTCGTCTAGATAATAAATATTCCTCCCTTCGTCACGGAATTTTCTAATTGATCTTAAGTAGGATCTTCGCCAACAAATAATTTCATCTTTATCGATAAGAACTGACTTCCTGTTCTGCTTTTCCCAGCAAAAATTCAGCTCTCGTAAAACGGCCCATAATTTGCTTCTACTGATTTTTGGCAAATCGTTGTCCTCTGAAAGTTCACTTAAAATTTTGTTTAGCGTTGGTATTTCTTTTTTAAAATAAAAGGAGTGTACTTTTCTGCGAATGACATTTTTGAAGAAATCATCTATAACGACTTTTGACCTCCCTGTAGATGATTTTGGAGGATTTACAGTATCTTGTTCATTTTTTGTTTCCTTTAAAAGTCTGTAGGTAGTCGATTTTCCAATCCCTGTCATTTTTGTTAGCATTAGTGTTACCCGATAATTACCTGGTTCTTATCTCGGGGTTTTATTACTCTCTTTCATTTCCAAACAGACTATAGATAAAGATTATCGGGGTTTTATAAACGTATTTAAATATTTTAAAACTATGACCTACTTTATACTATAAATGAAGGATATTAGCAGCAGGTGATGTAGGAAGTAGGTTTATAAAATTCATGAGGTCATAAATCGAGCGAAAAATCCATTTTTCTTGAAAATTACAATTGTTTACTAATCTCTATAGGTATAGCTTTCAAAATTAGGAGGAATTAGAGTAATTTAATTAAACTTTAATAGAATGTAATTCATTCTATTGATTTTAGTATTAATCTGTTTGTTTAATGATACACATGAATTTTAAGCACAGACATGACGATATTTAAGTATCTTCAACCACAAGCAATGTTATCTGTCTAACCATAGTATATAATTTGTTTCCGCTTTGATGTAAACAATAATTTATATTTCTAAAGCCAGTAATGATGATTATTGCAATATTACACACATATCGTAATGCAAAAATAAGCCTAAAATTAAAGTCAATTTTAAAATAATTTACAAAGGGTGCATAAGAACTTGGTTTTTAGAGGTATTTTATCTCAATAAGTAGTAAACCCTTTGCTAATTGGATTATTTTTGTTCAGCACCAAATTTCCTGTACCTTCTCAAGTTTCAAACCTCAAAACTAATACGTATCTAGATAAGGAATCATTATTTTTTTTATCTTCTTTATCAGTTATCAGCAAGTTTAGATAGTGACGATTTATGTGGAAAAAATGATAAGAGAAAAAATGTGTAATAAATGCAGTGAATCACAATGAAAAGATAGCAAATTTGGGAGTGTAAATTAGAAAATAGATTATATCAAGAGATAATTTGATAATTGGCAACTGAAATTTTATGATAGCAACGTCATCTTTATTATTCTTTCTTGTTTGGCGAAAGCGCAGCATTATTATGCACTGGGTGCTTCGCTTATTGAGCAAATTGAAGGAAATCCTGTTTTAGTAAAAAAAATGTTCTATAAGTTATATTTAGTGGATGAAAATTGTTGGCCTACTTCAGTTGTGCTCATAGTCGAGAAACAATTTAAATTCTTCCCAAGAATATTTTTTGAAATATGCTTGATGATATTTTTTTTCTTTATTTTGAATTGATCGTTTCTCATTTCATTTTGTTTTTATTTTAAATTATCATTAATAATGTAACATGTATTTAATCACTTTTTAAAATATCGATCATTTTCAGGCCCTTCTTTTCCTGGTGGTTAGTGCCCAGGAGCCAGCGATTAATTGGGCCCTAATCTACGTACAGTCAATGCTAAAAGAGTTACTTTTTCGAATTATATTATATTTACCTATTCGTTTAATGTGACTGTAAAGAAATAAAAATAACAGTTGAATAAATCTACTTCTTTTGTCTGTTTTAATAAAATAATGCTCCGTCATAGTCATAGAGACCATTATACTAAAGTTACCAGGGCCTCCAATAAGTTAAAGACGGCCCTGGTCATTTTAGGTAATAAAAGAAACTCGAATCATTGAATTTCGAATTCCTGCGTCAGATTATGTAATTTTCGAACGCTTGCACATTACAAAAACATTTCTTACAACTGATATACATATACTAATTGAGTAATTAGTAAGGCTGTCAGAGACAGCCGCAATTCAATGGTGTGCCAAGCGGGTCAACCGAGACAGGCGACATGTTTGGTCAAGCTGTAAATTTTTCAAAAAATGTCCAATTCCATCTTTGCAATTTTCCGTTTGATCTGCATTGTTCTCTATAATTTAATCTTCAGGTAATGTTGACTTTTTAATATTATGACTCTTGTGAGTTTTCTGATACCGCAAAATTTTTTCCCTATCATTTTTAAATGTATGTTGCAAAAACATGTGACAACTACATTGGAAGTGCTGCATTTCTATGAAACTAGTTCACTATAAAATAATTAGGTAAATTACGAATTATAACATTTCCTAATTTAGGTAGTTCTAAGTATAGGATTTATATATCTTTTGTTCACCAACATTCAGAAATAACAGCAAATTATAAATAATCTGATCGTTATACTCTTTGCTAAAAATATTATGAACTATTTACCTTTAAATAATATTTATGTTTTAAAGTAAATATCAATTTTGTTAACAAAGGAAACCTTACATTTATAAAGAAACATGAAAGAATTGTGCAGTTAACGTTTTTTTCTTGTAGTTTACTGTCGTTGCACCTGCGGAGTTCATAAGATCACAACTTGGGTGTAAACTGCCTGTAGTAACTGTCAGTCATACTAATAAGCCTTGTTAATAGTGTCGTCGAATAAAAACATATTTTATCCACTTTAATATTATTTTAAGAAACGTGACAAACAAACAAGTAATTATGCTATTCGTTAACATTATTTTGTAAGTATTATATGCAAAGCGAGTTCCAAAGTAAACAGGACTTTTTAAAAATAAGAACAGAAAGTTTTTTTTTACAAAACCGATCTATTTTGGATGACTTCTACGTCCATGAAACTCTTTCCTTTCATCGGCAAACTGAGCACACACTTTTCGGAAGCCCAAATGTTCGGTCAAAATGTGATAAATTGATCTTTATAAAATGCTCAAGTCCAATTCCATGAATTTCAATTAATGTTTTGACTGAACAGTCACATCAGACGTAATAACTCGGCTTCTATTTGTCAAAACGTCATGAAATTTCGAAAGTATAGTTGTTACAATATCACAATTGTTACATTACAATTAATAGTTGATAATATGAAATTTCTCGTGCTTTACCCATTATCTGTCTCGTAATTTATATTCGAATAGCCATTGGGCGAGTCCGGTATTGGTATACCAGTCCGCCTGATGTAGAATCGATGACGGTACGCTGGTCGTCAAAGCAAACCTGTATTGGTCCACTAGGTCGTAAATAATTTTTTGCATGGCATTCTATAATTAGTTTAGTGTCGAACGCTGTTCACTTGGTTTTGCCAGTGCCGTAGAGAGCAGTGCTTGGCGTTGTTGTAATACGTATTATTAATATTATTATTTGTTCATATCGTAACCAGTAAAGGGTAATAGTGATTAATTTAAATATTATATATATATATAAAATTATCTAATAATTTAGCATAGCTTTTTGGAGACCCTTTGAAATGGAAGATAACGAAATAACCCGGGAAAATCCCCAAATAGTCGAGACGGTTTTTGTCGAAAGCGTCGAAACAAACTCAAAGATTTACACGTACAAAGTCAACGTATTATTTTAAACATACATATATGAATGTTTAAAAAGAGAAAATGTGAACACTGTGATAAAGAAATTAGGAAACGGATTAGCGAATTAACTAAGATATCAAAAACGTCAATTTCTCGCGTAATTAAAGAAGACGTTATTAATCACGGTACAAAGAGGAAACGGAAAAATACGAAATTAACGAGTATTGACGATTTTACCAGAGATGTAATACGGCGCACAATTTATAATACTTTAAACATGATTTGAGAAAAATTAAGGGATTATCCTGATTATAATTATAAATCTTTAGATGCTTTACGACATGTATTACAATGCGGTTTTAAACATAAAAAACTTGACAACCGTATGGTAATTATGGAATCACGACATATAGTTGCACTTCGGGATGATTATTTACAAAAAATTCGAGAATATCGTCAACTAAATAGGAATAGGAATATAGCTCGGAATATAGAATATCTAGACGAGACAGGGCAACATTTTTCTGGATACCTATGGATTCCGTAGAGTTTATGAGTTAAATGTTTTATGCGGTTCTTGATATCGTAACGACTATACATCAGTGAAGAATCTACCTCTCCAACGCATGTAATTGCCAATAGATGTCTGTGTACTAATTTATATAAAATTTCACTTATAGCAACTCACGTAGGATTATTTTTATATGGCTTCTGTAATTTTATACTTTCTTTTGAATTTGAAACTATATCTTGTATTTTAAAAATCTCCCCATATCAAACAATCTCTTTCTTTTATTTCAGCCATCTATAACTGGAAGGGCGACACCAAATTCGGCCTGCCTTTAGAGATAGGCGATACCGTCCAGATCCTTGAGGAATGCCAGGGGTGGTACAGGGGGTTTTCGACGAAGAACAGGGCCATCAAGGGTATATTTCCTCAGTCTTACATACACTTGAAGCCCTGCAAAGTGGACAACGAAGGACTCTTTGAGAGTGTCGTCCCAGTCGAAGATCCGGTAGTTAGGGAGGTGACCCTTGTGTTGAGGGAATGGGGCAGGATTTGGAAGGAAATATTTGTGGTAAGTTAGTAATTTTTTAAGAAAAAACACAGATGATAAAGAAAGCTATTCGATCGTATACGAGTACTAATTGGAATATTTTTATCGTACAAAATTCGACCTTGGAAAATAGCACAAAATTATAAAATAATGTAAATTACTGGAAAAAATTAAGGGAACAAAAAAATGTCATCAATTTTTTTAGTCATTTTTGAAACACAATGATAGTTATGTGCGCTGTAAACTTCAAAATTGAGATAGATACTGCATCTAGACATGATAATCGCCTTGCAAGCAGTTTCAAAATACATAAAAGTTCTCAAAAAAGACATCAAAATTGTCTAAATTACATGGAAAAGGCTTCCGGTAGCATTAAAATGAATGAAAATAGTTTTAAAATACAACTTAATACTTCAAAATAATTTCAGATTAGTTAAAAATTATTTAAATCCGTTAAAATTTGGTCAAAACGCATATGACATATGTAAAAATTGTCAAAACCTTGAGCAAAACCCATTAAAGTAGCATTTTAAGTATATCGAATCAGAAAAGCTCTTAGAAGTACGTCAAAATCTTTCAAAAACTTCACCTGGAAACACTGCCATTGACTTCCCGGTCTTCACCTTTGATACCTCGGTGTAAATGACCTTTGTCCCTGAGATTATTGATAAATGACCCCTGGTTTACTAAACTTTGACCTTGAGATGATTGACCTCTAATCTGGAGTCATTTTCGACTTTTAAAATTCTTATGGGTTTCTGATTTGAATATCACTGTGTTTTTATAATGAAACTGAAATCAAACTTTGTATCTTTTCTGCACCTAAAAATGTGAATGTTTTCTATAAATCGATCAGTTTAATTAAATTGCAATTTAGTAAAAAGAGTAGAGCCTACAGAATATAACTTTTTTTATGACAATATGCAGAAATCTAAGAAATTTAAAAAATCAACAATCACGAACATCTGACAAAAGGGTGCACTTTGAATAAGACTTTTTGTTTCAATTAATCGTCTAACACACATTTTTCAATATTCAATAATAGGTATCGATGCCGCAAAACTAAAAAAGCTGATCGTCTGAGAATTACTAGTATTTTACGAATTTTTCTGAAAATCCATAAAACCAGTATTTGCACAACACAATATCAAAATCGTTTTAAGTATAAAATGATTTCATTTCACTTTTTTTAATTATGGTACTTTGTATATAAGTTCTTGCTTTATTTGAATTGTTTAAGTTATTATTGTTAATATATTTTATTATATGAAAAATATCTACATTTGTTTAAATCATACTAAACGAATTTCCTTATAAAATAATACATACATATTAGGGTGGCCCCTCAAAAAACCAGCTCAAAAAAATTTTTCTAGAGGTCGCTCAAGATTTTTAAAAATTTCCAGTCAAAAATTGACTTTTTTTTAAATTTTTTTTCTCGTTATTCTACAATTTTCTAGGTTGAAAAAAATCTCGATACTGAAAATTTCAAATCGATATTTTCATTTCTAAAAGTCATAATTATTTTAACTTTAAAAGTAGTGTACCTAAAATGTTGTCGAGCGACCTCTAAAAATAAATATGAACGAACAAATATATTTTTTTTATTGAATTTGATGAACAAAAGAATAGAAATAAATCACGAGACAAAAAATTCCTCCAGGCAAAATTTACTACCGCACTGTGAGTTATCAAATATTTATAATTTTTTAAAATTTAAATGTCTCGTGATTTATTTCTATTTTTTTTATCATTAAATTCAATAAAAAATAAATATATTATAGTTCGTTAATATTTATTTGAAAGTTAAAATAATTATGAGTGACCTTTAGAAATTAAAATATCGATTTGAAATTTTCAGAATTGACATTTTTTCAACCAAGAAAATGATAACGAGAAAAAAAATTTTGAGTATTTTTAAAAATCTTGAGCGACCTCTAAAAAATTTTTTTAGCTGATTTTTTGAGGGGGCTCTTAAAACATGATAAACTAACATATTTTCACAAGAGACACGAAAAAAATATTCGTTTTTTTTGGGCCACCCTAATACATATAACCAAAATATTTATATTTATAGACTCAAATATCTAGCAGTAATTGAATTTTGACCTCGATTTTGACTTTTATTACTCTTGAAATGTCCATGTATTAACTATACAACAATTTTTTCCACAGAAATGCAATGGCATGCCTTTTTTCGAGGTTCTGCTGTATAATGAAGTGATATTTGATAAAAATAGACGATAAAAACATTCCAAACATATGTAAGAGGTTATAGTTGGAACTATAAAGTCATTCGAAATTCATTGCCTAGTTTTCTCAACCTCAACCTAGTTAACAAACTGGTACATATTCTTCGAAATCTTTTGCAACCTTTTTAAGAATATTTGTAGAGAATCAAAGGAACAATAATTGTAATTATATTATGAAATGGTAATAACATCTTAACTAGTCAATTATTTTTCGGTTAGATAAATAAATAAGAATACTTTTGTAGGAAAGGAACCATTACAAATTCGAGACTGTGGGAAAGGTTATGAGAGACCTTTTGGAATGGCGCAGACAACTGGTTTCAGGGACTTTAACCCACGACCAGACGCGGGAGCTGAAGCTGAAAATCATACAGAAAATAGACTGGGGAAATCGGTGAGTCCAACATTTTCAGACTTATTCCAATCTCTAAAGGAGCCTAAAGAGTTTTGTCTAAAAAATATCTTTTACGTAACTGACAAAATGTGCACAAGAAATCTTTGATGTTATTAAATATTTTGTTTTTTTTTTTATTAACGTCAAAATGTTTCCGTATAGGAAATAATTTTATTTTGCTTTAAAATCTAGATTAAATTGTCAGTATTTATATCGATATACTTAAATAAATAAAAATTTATTCGAAAATTCATAAATACACATTTTTAACGTTTCGTCCTGTCAAATTAGGACAATAATTTAATTCCGCAGAACCCAAACCACACCTTAATTATTATTCATTACACAAACGTAAATAAGATAACAATAGTGTAATCATCATTATTTGACGATTTTGAAGGACACACTTATTTTTTAATAACTTTTTCATTTATGGTATTTACTCACATGTACTGTTGATAGGAAACTTGTTTAATTACACAGCCACACAAAAAAAAAAAGTTGGGTATACTTTTTATGCGACATATATTTTTCGTAGTAATTTGGCCTCCTGAACACGAATCTGGGGTCAGAATTGGCCCATCACGTCACAATTTTTTCCTAACCTCAAAAAACTTGTGAAAAATAGTGAAAATTGATGAAAATTTACTGGGAAAATTTGGAAAAAAATTTATTTCCACATCAAATAGTACATTTTTATGTAAAAGACTCTGCTGAATTCAAATCCACTGTCAGAATTGAGCTAGAACGTGTGGTTTTTTTTCTAACCTCAAAAAACCGAGCAGGAATCGCTATTTTCAAATTCTGAGCGGATTTTGACCAGATTTTGTATAAAGGGGTTTTTTGGGTCGCTGATTACGAATATGAATTCACATTGTAAAAATTCAAGATGGCTGATCCAATATGGCGGGTGTACTTTTTTGAAATCCACCGATTTCAGTAAAATTTGGCATCATAAGGATTGCTGGTTGATCTCACCTTCATTAATCACACATCTGGAGCCAGATTTTCATAAATCAAGGTAAAATTTGTAGGCAGAGTCATAATTTTAGGCCGAGTAGGCGGCATTTTTTCGGCAAAGTCACATTTTTAGATTGAAGGCATAAGCAGATGCAGTGATGTGCTGTGTGGCAGTAATGTGTCCTTTTCCTTGAACTTTAAAATTATTAAGAAATAAAAGCATCTAAATGCCATAGGAAAACTGCATAGTAGTTAAAAAAATCTGATTGGAAAACCATAAGCCCATGCACGACTAAATAAATGAAAGAATAAAGTAGAAACTTTTTTGTCTTGTCCCATGGAAACAAGCACATCACACTACACATCATTACATGTGTAGAGTCCTTAAGTCATTTTTTTAAGCGAAGTCACATTTTTAGACGGAGTGGAATCTTTTACCTTGATTTATGAAAATCTGGCTCCAGATGTGTGATTAATGAAGGTGAGATCAACCAGCAATCCTTATGATGCCAAATTTTACTGAAATCGGTGGATTTCAAAAAAGTACACCCGCCATATTGGATCAGCCATCTTGAATTTTTACAATGTGAATTCATATTCGTAATCAGCGACCCAAAAAACCCCTTTATACAAAATCTGGTCAAAATCCGCTCAGAATTTGAAAATAGCGATTCCTGCTCGGTTTTTTGAGGTTAGAAAAAAAACCACACGTTCTAGCTCAATTCTGACAGTGGATTTGAATTCAGCACAGTCTTTTACATAAAAATGTACTATTTGACGTGGAAATAAATTTTTTTCCAAATTTTCCCAGTAAATTTTCATCAATTTTCACTATTTTTCACAAGTTTTTTGAGGTTAGGAAAAAATTGTGACGTGATGTGCCAATTCTGACCCCAGATTCGTGTTCAGGAGGCCAAATTACTACGAAAAATATGTCGCATAAAAAGTATACCCAACTTTTTTTTTCTGTGTCGCTGTGTTATCTAACGTAGAAAAAAGTTGCTAGCATAGATTCAATAATTTGTTTTCTTTGACACTTCATATATTGTAATACTATTTCAATTTCAAGAATAGCGTTCAATATTCTGTTTTTTTAAATTTATGTATTATAAGTTTTTTCCTTAATTACAGCTTTTTATGATTTATCGTGAAGTATTTTTGAAACCTATCTGTCTTCTATAATTTCATCACCCTTCTTCCTAATTAATATTGTTGATATTTTCTCTCTTTTTGTGGCGAAATCTGCAGTGTTTCATTGTGAATATAGAGGTGACAGAAAAACGTTACGAACAAAGACATTTTCTATTATGATGAGAATAAATTTCACCTTTCGAGAGAAACTTCCTCAATCAGTCACTGATCTGTTGAAATACCTACACTAACGGCTGTACAGTACACAGTGTACAATTTTTTGGGACGCACGAATGATTTTTTTTCATATACAGAGTGTCGCACCAGGAATCGCCACTATCGATATATCGGAAAGTACTGAGCTAATAAATCAGAAAATTTATTAACTTAGCAAAAGCAGTAGGGCCAACACAGCTAAAATATTTAGAACTTTATAGCACTTCCGGTTATACCAGATGCCGACATTAACTTTCTTATTTTAAATGGAATTATTGCATTTTCGAATTCTACGTGAAATTCGAGTCACTTGAGTAAATATTCCCTATATCTAGGAGTTATAGATTTTGATATTAATTTTTAAAGAAAAAATTTGACAGATGCAAGGGTCCGCGGAGATGTTAGTAACTCTTTTCAGGAGCGTGATATCAAGCGGATTTTTGGTACCTGTAAAGGGCATAGGTAACACTAAATTATGGTATACCAACAAATTAAAACATTTAATACTAGGTGTTTCATTTTTGATGTTACATTTTGATAACTTCAAACAGCTATAACTTTGTTAACTTAAATGGAACACCCTGTATTTTTTACTTTGTCATATGCAGATTGAAATTTCCTTTCAAGCCATATAAGCATTGTTAGGGTTGCCGTTATTACTTTTAGAGATATTTGCAATTTTCTCGTTCAGACCTGTCATCTAATTTGCTATGACCAGAAACACTTCAAAAACAATTAAAATAACTTGACATTTGTCAAGTTAGTTGTCAAATTATTGTTATGTCTGTATTAGTTTCTAAAATCTATAACTCTTAAGATAGAGAATAATAATAAAGTGACACTCAAATTTCGCGTAGAATCCGAAAATGCAATAATATATAGGGTGTCCCATTTAAAATAAGAAAGTCAATGTCGATCCCCAGTATAACTGGAAGTGTCTTAAAGTTCTAAATACTTTAGCTGTGTTGGCTCTACTGCCTTTGTTAGGTTGCCAAATTTTCAGATTTATCGGATTTGTACTTTCCGATATATCGATAATGACGTTTCCTGGTAGGACACCCTGTACAGTGGCCTTCTAGGTGTACTTGCTCAACCAATTACATTGATCCAGTTGTGACTCCATGGCCTCCTGCTGAGATTTTTTTATATCGCAAATATTGTCAATTTATAAGTTTTATTTTTTATTAAATTTCCGTTTGAAACTCTAGAAAGCATTGGAAATTACTGATAAATAGTCTGTTTATGAACCTAACATTATGAAAACTAGGTAGGTCTTGCCCAAAATTATGAAAATAATGTATACAGTGTGATTCATAAATGGTGACCAAAAATTAAGTCTCGTATTCCCTGATAAATTTTAAGGGGAGTTTTTCCTATAAAGTTTTTATCTAGAACGCTTCGTTAAAAACATACAGGGTGTTAAACTTCAAAAAATATTTTTAATTTTTTTAAATAATTTAAAAACCAGTAAGTGAAATAATTTGAAATTGGCCACGTGTATTGATGTAATGTAACTGAAAACACTTCGATATTCGAATAAAATGCGGTTTAGAATTACGTAGTAAGCTGCGATAAGAGGGTAGTAATTTGTAGAAAATTGAAAGACGAATCCGAAAATATCATGGTTGTTACCGTAAAGCAGTGGCGTACTATTTTATTTAGGAAAATATGCCACCAATACCCTGTATCTCCGCCACTGGCATGTACTGCGCATGTAAATTTTAGGAAAAGCCCTCAGATTTTGGACAATGTTTACGTAAATACATGTGCCCAATTACGAATTATTTGACTTACTAGTTTTTAAATTATTTTAAAAAATTAAAAATATTTTTGACGTTTAACACCCTGTATCTTTTTAACGAAGCGTCCTAAATAAAAACTTTATAGGAAAGACTCCCCTTAAAATTCACCAAAGCATACGAGGTTTCGCTTTTGGTCACCATTTATGAATCGCCCTGTGTACAAACTACTATTTACCAATCGTAATAAGCAGGGTCAGTAAATTGACATTTTTTATCCACAGACATTTCTAAAGCCTTATAAATATAAACTTAAGTGTAAACTTCATAATTTTACTTTATAACTATAAAAAAATATATTTTTCATTACAATTTGATGAAATATAGGTATAGGTGTTTTAAGAGATGCTGATTAAATATATTTTTATAAAAGAATCCCTAAAGTGAATATCCCAAAAATCACTTTAAAAAAAAATCATAGCTAGCCATGGTTTGTCAACTCGTTCATCGTAATTTGGAAGTCTAGTAGGCCATTATATACGTAAAAAAAAATAATTCAAATTGTGCCTAACAAAATCATTTTAGAACAGAGCTATTTGAAAATTTGTTTTATTTTTTATAGATTTTCAAGGTATATTCTGAAAAAAATTTCAAAGAGATACTGAAGTTTCTTCATTAAACAAAAAACTAGGAATAAAATTCCATAATTTTTGCAAGTACAAAACGATTTTTTAATTAATATTGTATAATTCAAGTTCAAATTTCTTTTTAGTTCGTTTTCGAGTTTTTTCTTCACATAACAAAAACATTTTAGTAAATTCTTCTAAAATAGAAATTGGTTATAGTGAATTAATTTTTAATAAATGAAGTTACATTTAATATTGTAATATTTTAATTATGTAATTTTTAAAAATTATAGCCAATTTTTTTTGTTCTTATCGTCGCCCAAATTCGATTTGCGACTTTTTAAAATAAATCCCTAAATCCTTTAAAATTAATTTATTCAAAAGGCACTTAGTGTATAAAATAAGATTTCTGAAATAAATCAACAGTCTTACCTAATTGTCTAACAGTATGTAAAGGCTTATAAATCTAAAAATTGCGCAATAAAATTATTCTAATAAGTTTGTCTGCATGAGCAAAAGCACTCCCTACTATCCTATCGATGATCACACAGTAACAATCAATAAATGTGTAAAAAATCCCATAAAAATTTGAGATCTAAAATACTATGGCGTTACAAATAGAATTAAATCTAGGTTCGCACAAATTCGAATCGATTATTCAAAGGCCTTAACTAGATAATTAAAAAAATATATGTAGTAGAAAATTTTCGTTGTCAGTTTGTCGTACTTTTAAATACTTATGTCTCAGTCTCTTTGAATTTCTCGATTTCTGGGTAGATGGGGCTCATTTCTAGGGTACTGGGGGCGGAGGGGACGTTACTGTTGCTACCGAAATTCAAACGGCGAACGAATTCGTCCAAAATTTCGCCGAACACCAGCTGGTTGGTGTTCTGGCCCAACAAATGGAGCAGAAGGAAGTCTCCAACCTAAAAAAGGAAAAGTGTTCGACTCGCAACTTATCAAAATTAAAGAACTATAACTATATTATTGCATCAAGTACTGTTCATACAATACATTGAACAAAATATATACCTGAGTCTTCCTGATGATGGTGTCGACAGCGTTGGGAGCCCCAAATCTGAACCTCCTCCTCAGGATAGTTTCCCTGGTGCTTGGCAGCAAAATAACCGCAGCCGAATAAACAATGGCCAGCCCAGAGAGAATTGCTAAAATAATAAACCAGAACCAAAGGAAAATATAGATCTTCTCGTTGAGAATGTTGAGAGCAAGTACACACAGCGCGTCGTGTTTTTGTATGGATCCCGAAGGACCATATTTGTGGAATGTGCATTTCGTTACCCTCGGGAATACGGCGACCATTGGGTCGGTGCGATTCTCTTGGTTCATGTTCGAAAATGAGACCACGTCGGTGCCGTATGTTAAAAACGCTCCACCTAGGAACTTGTCAGTCATGAAGATGTTCACCATCTGAAAAGGAAGATTGTTAATTCCGTGACAAATTAAAAATATAATTAGTTGACATATTCACAAATAATATGGTAGTAATAGGGCTTCATAATTGTGATAATCACAATTGTAGATTATAATAAATATAAATAAAAGAAGACATTCAAATTTGTGAAAGAGGAATTGTATTTCAAAAATCCAAAGAACATTGCGGTATTATTTTTATTTCTCTCTATTCGTGTGTATGCAAACATTGTTATTCTGTTAAGTGGCGTCAATATTGTGTGTAGAACTAACCACTTAATTCAAAACATACACTCCTATTAATTGATGTTGTTTATTTATAGCAGCAATAATCGTTGAGTACATAACCTTTTAAGGTCCTATCAAGTGTTAAGTTAATATTTTAAATGAATATGTTTGTCTTCAAAATTATCTCGGAACTATTGGATGTGACATACATATTTAGGATCCACTACCGGAATTTATATTATTTTAAAATAGTCACATAAAACTTTAATTTATAGAAATATTCGAAAGCTACGTAAATAGTTGTGATACTTACCACATTAACAAAATTGAGTGCCTCGCAGACGAAGTACCCAAACGCGTAGGAGTTGTGAAGATGCATGGTTTCTACCATATACTGCACCAAACGGCTTTGTCTCGCCTCTCTCTCCTGCTTGTCTCCAACTAAGGCACCTCTCATGCCTTCCGAAATCATCCTTATCTTTCCCTGTTCCCAGTTCTTCCAGATCCAGTGCGGTATGTAGAACAAAACTCCCTAAAACGCGATAATCTTATAGCAATTCACTACTTTGCACAAGAAAATGGTTTACTGAAGAAAAAACTGTTTAACTATGTCAGCAAAGGTTCAAAGAATCATTATCTCTTTTATCTTGATGATTTTTGGGAAATGGCTGAACACCTACCTGGAAAAATAGGACAAAAGGTACCCATTGGTAGTAACTGTGGTATATCCTGTCTTGATTCTCGTTACCAAGTCCAGGGTGTGCAATTTCGGAACCGATATGTTTTCCGTGTTCGTGTGGCAAAGTGAAAGTGTAGGTGATCCAACAATACGTGTTTATCACGTGTCCGGGAACACCCCTATCATTGATACATTGAATGGGGTCACCTAAGAAATTGTTAACATCTCTAAAAAACTAGTTGATTTTACCAACATTAAATTAAAATAAAATTCACCGGTTTAAAACCTTTATTCGTAAAAATTTTCCGACGTTTTTGTTGTTGGACTGGCTCAAAAAATTAAGTTTCTGTAAATTCCTTATAGATTCCGAGAAAAAATTTATTGAAGTTGTAGTACCTTCGACCATTACATAGCTGGACAACTGTAGTCTCTAGCGTTACGCGTGGAGAGCCACGTGACCTCAGCGACTCCGAATACTGAAATCCGATTTTACAATCGTCGTTACCATAGTGTTTACAGTAGTTTTTTAGTAGTTCATTTCCTTGTGAAATTCTTTCAAGTTTTTGTCCGTTTTTATCACTGCCGATGCCGCCGTTACGGACGCATTGTGTCAGGTCAGGTTTTACAGTGGACCAGTTTCCTGTGAACTGTCCTTTTTGATTTTTTCTTTACAAAATTGTATTTATAAGAGTCCCCTGTACATCCCGATTTTTTTTTTTGATAAGTTCTGAATCACTCTGTAGATGACGACGTTAGTAATAGGGCAAACAATGACAGAAATAATAATCAAAATAAAACAAGTTTTAAATAGTTTAATTAATTATTGTTGAGATAGAAACTTGAAGGATATTTATTTTTAAGTCAGTATGATAACTCTCAGTTATTATCACAATAACATTATTAATTGTTACAATTAATGCGTTAAGGATATGCATGAAATATACAGAACATTGCGAGTTGTATCACTTTAAGTAATTGCTGATTGTCGTCACATATTTAAGGTTTCTTTTGTTGTTTTCCATTTCCTCGAGCATAAATTCAAGTTTAGAACTTCTGAAACGACGTTTTCTCATATATTTCGCTTTATATATTTCACAAAATTACTTTTATTGCACCAGTCAAAGTCAAGGTATGTGAAATATTGCGACTGATGTTCCTCAAAGCATTTTTAACTCAAGGTTATTAGTCCAATACCAAGACGTCATACGTGACACGATAGATACTTATTTAACGTTTAATCAGGAAATTCTGAGCTTCATGAAGATATAAATGTGGTTTGGTTATTCATTTATGATAAAACTTAGTCACAAAACTTTTACGAATATATTTTCATCCAAATTCGAATGAAGTATGTAGATTAAGTATATATTTTTTTTACCTATGAGATTATTGGCAGTTACGATTATGCAGCACAAAAACAATATGGCTGACGTAACCCTGTAGTGCGCTCTGAACACCATGTTGTCGATCATGGCTTTGTCTATGAGATAGCGGACTTTGATGAAGCCCGCTACAGCGGACACCATGCCGAAGACCGTCATCTTGACTTATTTCTGCAAAAAAAGAAAAATATTTTAGTAAAACTAAACTGTGGTTACAACTATAGATATGCTTCAGAAAACGTATAAATTATATTTCAGTTAAGTCATTTGTGACGTGACTTCGCTTTTAACTTTTGGCGAGGCAATTTAAGTATACCCTGTATGTCATATTTTCTAAAATACAAAAGATTTTTCTAAAATACAAACGATGTTTTCTAAATATCAATTTAAACTCTGTGAAATATAATTAAAGTTTTCTGAAATAATACGTTTAAATTAAAAATCAATTTTATAAAGTTGTCACCGGTAAATTTTGTTGGATCTATTTTAAAAAAGTGACATATTTTTGGTGTGAAAACGAAATCGGGAACAAAGAGGCGAAAATATAAATAGCAAATTTAAAAATACGATATAACTGATGCCTTACTATTATTAGTTGATTAGGTGTATTTACTTTCAGGTCAATTTCGAAGTTAAACAGAAACATAATTAAATAAATTTATTCGGTTTTTGTGGTCGTAAATGTCCTTGTTGTAAAACGCACCTGATTAACAAAACATTGTTTTGTACTTGATTGATTGTACTTATTACAAAATATCAAATTAACTTCGAATTTTTTCAATGTAGTCCAAGGATCTCTAGAACCGATTAAAATAAATTATGGCGAGAAGACACTGACAAAAATAGTTAACGTTTTAGGAAACTGTTTTAAAAAATATATTTAGTTATCTGTCATCAGATCATGACAGGTGTATTTAATTTGGTGACAAATCTGTTATCCCAGTTCTCTCTGTAGCATTTTTTTGTTATAGCCATGTCACACTTCTAAACTTAAATAGACATGTAAACTGTATTTGTTTAATTTGCAAAAATAAACTTTATTGTAACAACTGTTTTGCATTTCTTATGCTCCTGATAAAAAATGCGTAAGAATAGTTACAATAAAACTAATTGTTATGAATTTACAAATAAAAAAGTCATCATTGGAATACGTCAGTTGAATATTATGTTCGTTTAATAAAACTGAATAAAAATATTTTAGCTATTTAGTCAGAGGAGATATCGGTTGTTCTGTATTCGTAATTATAGGTTGAGGCTTTTCCACAACGCATAACTTTGCGTGAAATTTGCGGTTTGTTGTTCTGAAACATTTGTGAAATTAGCCAGAATTTACTGCGTAATGCGACTGGAAATTCAAGTTTACCTATATGAGCTATACTTGCAAAAGGTGCGGTCAATAATATCCAGTTTGTAGAAGATGTCATGTAACGCTAGATAATACACACCACATCCTTTACAGTGCTTATGTTATACATATACGTAATAATCAAAAACCTTCTGTTTAATAATTCACGTATCTTTTATTTTTTACGTATGTAAATTGGAGCTAAATTGTTGACACAAACACTTCAACAGACAAAAACTCAAATATTTAATAGAAAGTCTCGATCGTTAAAGCATGAATAATATTTAATAAGAGAAAAGGTAGTAAAGTATACTTCCTATATTTTAATTATTTAATACAATTTCTTGTAAATGTTTTATTGTCAATACAGTACAATGAAACAAATTGTTATTCCTACATTGCTTCGAACTTAAAACGCATGAAATGTTTCTTCCACAATGACATCACAAACAGCTTGTTCTGTTGCTCATACCACTTGTTATTTCCGAGTAAGCAGTTGCATTCTAAAAATTCTTTAAGTGTCTTGTGAGAACAGAATGATTCTGAGAATGGTAATCTAGCAAGGTGTAACTTATTTGTAGGTATCAGTTTGCGAACCGTGTATCTAATTTCTTTAAGGCATAAACTACGTGCAATTTTGCTCTACCATTTCAATCATTGAAAATATATAAACTTTAAGGTAACTGATATTGTCAACATATTTTTCTTGACATAATTATAACTTTGAAATTGTTTTTGTAGTCATAATTTCTTGTAAATTACCATCAGAAGTTCTTGATACTTCAGTCATTGTTAAATACACAATTTTCTTTAAGATAATTGATATTTTGAACACATATGAATTTTTGCGACAGATTTATAATTTATAATGACACTTTAAGGTTATGAGACTAGCTATAATTTAATGTAATTCACTACCTATCAGAAGTTTAAACAAATAAATTTTGTTAGAGGTAACTGTAATATATTTATAATCTAAATACAAATATGGGTTCCCTCGTGCTATCATGTTTTATCACTGTTATGAATTGTAAATTTTATGAGGCATTTTGAATCTCTTTGCTTAACCATACGTTTTCGTAAAATCAAATAAGAATTCTTACTTGAACTACAACGATGTCTCTTTGAATTCATTAATTATTAATAAAAGCAGCAAGGCAAACTTGTTCGCCTACCTTTTTCTGAAGAAATAAGTAAACATTTGAGATGAGTAAATGATTTCCATTAAATTTTTAAAAGTAAAATATTCTGTATCCAAATGTATTCTTTGTTTATTTCGCAACAAATATTTATATACTATTATCAAATCAGATAATTAAGTAAGTTTTTGTGTATGTCGACATATGTTTTCATTAAAATTCAATTTCAAGTGTAATCAATGATATATACTTTGTCACGTTGAATGATGGTGGTTCTGAGGACAACCTAAAACTGGTTTCAGATGTCTCGACCATCTTAGCTTACTCTTAAAACCTCAGTGTTGGTTATTGTATTACTTATTTTACTTAAAATATTCATGAACGGTTTAGCAACAAAGTCTAATTTAGTATGAAGATAAAGCACCTACTGAAAAATCTATTCTTAATAAGAAATTCTTTCTGAGAAGGTGTGTCCTTGTCCTATACTTCAAGTTACACATTCAAATATGAAAAACCTTTGAGTATCCTTTCCAGGTACTAATCAGGTCGTTCCTCTAAACTATATACCTGAGATAAAACCAATAATGGTGTGATGCATAGGGTTTCCCTGATTTCTAACAATTTATAACCAGTTTTTCGAACCATATCGGAATGACACAGATTTAACAGTCGGTAGCGTTTCCTTTGTACAGCTTTACTATGTTATGATTGAAAAAGTTGATAATTTACTGCAATATTAAAATGACAAATCACATTTTTGGTCATACTGCTCGAGTTTTATACCTCTTTTTATCACAGCTGTAAAATTGACACAATTTGCACGATTCTAGTCGTGCAGAAAAACGTCAAAACTATTTTCTAAAGTTCATAAGTGTTATTACTGACATCCACAACCGCTTATTCCATTATAGACGCCTACATTGTGTTCCGCAAAACCGCGAATCATTTTTCAATTCCCGCGGACACCATTATTCGTCGTGATTTTATTAATAAGCTTTATATTGGTTCAACCCTGTTTAATCAACTCTCGCACCACATTAAACACTTGTTGATTTTTTAAATTTCAACGCTTGGGAAACACCACATTGTCCGATAAAACATGTGTTAACCACCGAGGAACGAATAAATTAGCAACTTTTACAAGCAATTACCTTTTATTAGTACCGTTAGTTAAAAACAAACTAGAATCCCACCGGAGTAAATGCAGATTTATTTATTGCCGTGGCAATACGTGTTCCGCAAACTGTTGCACTTTGTGTGGTGGGTTTCACTTTTCTTGTAACATTTTGAACGCAGCTTTACAAACACTTACACCAACGGGCACCAGCTATACTAAATTCGGTCGGTTTCTTCTCGTCGGGCAAAACTGGGGACAATAGTAGGGGACCGTTTATCTTTGTTTATGCAACGTTCGAATTTTCCCTCCTTTTCTACACGGCTTAGTTGTCTGTGTAAGTAAGGAATGCGTTTTATCCAGCTTTAAGCTATTAAGGCTTTAGAGGTTTCATAACTGCAGTCAAGATGGCTAACTGAATCCATCAAGGGCACAAGACTGAGTCTTTTGTATCGAAAAAAATAGTAATAGAGCGTGTGTCGCCGTCACTGAAAAGCGCCAAAAAGCTTCATGGAATTTAAAATATCTATGAAAATATATGCAAAAATGTAGGTGTTATGGAAAATATGACAAAAAAGATTTCTAGAATATTAAAATTTTGCTATAGACTTGCTATAGAATATTCATAGACACTGTGAACTAACTTACATTACTTGCAAACCGGTACAGCTCTTCAGTTTTTGAGTTATTTTGAAAAAAACTGATTTTGGCATTTTCAAAAATTGGCTGTAACTTTTTTATTTAGAGCAATTTTTATAATCTGAAAACACTTTTCACGTCAAGTTTTTAGAGGAATTTCACTGTATATTTAGATTTTCATTGCGACGTTTCGCTTGCGAGAAACCATCAACTTTCTTTTTTCTTATCGGCGCTATATTGAATTCTAAGCTGAGCAAATAGAAAATTTTTTTGGTTTTTTAGAGAAGGAAGACAACAACCTCAAAAGTCGATATTTAAATATTTTTAATAAATCTGGCAACACCGCATAATTTTTCGAAATTAGTCTCAAATTTTTGTAAAAGCTTATCATTAATGTCATGGCGTTGAGCGAAAAAATTACGCTTTGCTTTATTCCAATGAAGAAAAAAGTGATATGTTGGAGTAAAAATAATAGAAATGCAACTAAACTTAAATAACAGTTATATTGGAAAATATTCAGAAATACAACCACCAAATGAAATGTATTTTTCTTAATTTATTACAAATTTGAGAATGTTTGAAAAAGCTGCATGCTAAGAACTATGAAAGAGATAATAATTGGTGCAATAATAATATTTTTCTTCATTAGAATTACGCAAAGCCATTTTGCCGATTTTAAAACAAGTGTCACTCTAACTGTTAATTAACTCTATGATAAACAATGGTTCAAAATGACATGCAATTTGAAACAAATGAAAATATTATTATCGTCATGCAGATTCATAGACTACTAATGCGGCTTTTCTTCGTAAAACGTGGCAATTTCTATCATTTTTCACTCAACGCCATGACAGTAATGATAAGCTTTTACAAAAATTTGAGACTATTCTGTAATAATTTCGAAAAAGTATGCGGTGTTACCAGATTTTTTAAAAATATTAATTGATTTTTAAGGTTGTTTTTGAAATTTTTTCTTATTTATATTATGTCACTGAAAAAACAAAAAATGCTTTATTTGCTCAGTTTAAAATTCAATATAGCCCCCATAAGAAAACAGAAAGTTGATGATGGTTTCTCTCAACCGAGACATCGGAATGAAGATTTAAAGGTACAGTGAAATTCCTCGAAAAAACTTGCTATGAAAAAGTGTTTTCAGATTTTAAATATTCCTCTAAATAAAAAAAGTTACAGACTATTTTCGAAAATGCCACATTAACTTTTTTTCAAAATAACACCTGCTAGGGCCGGTTTGCAAGCGCCATTAAGTTAACAACAGAACTGTCTAAAACTTTCCCTAGATACCAATACATGCATCACTAAAATGGTCCACACTGTATATGGCTTTTAATTAAATTCCTTCATTTATCAACTCCATAATATAAAAATCATTAAGAGAGTTGAGCATAGCGTCACTAAGTGGAAAAATTACTTTATAATTGATGGAAATTACCGAGATTTTTCTTCTAACTTCCCTCAGGTTTCCTTGTTCAAAAGTAAAAGAAAAATAATATAAGAAGTCGAGATTTGTTCTACTGTTTATCATTGTTTCAATGTTTCGTATGTTTTGCTTCTAATTAATTGAATAAATTTTTTTTAGTTAATTTCTATTCGACTGTGTATTAATTGCGTTTTAACACTATGTATGACTTTAAAACAATTTTTTTACAACTGTACAAATTTCCTTAAAATCTATTTATTTTAGCGATATCGATAAAGTTTATTACCTGACTTATCATCCCACGATATTACTAACGCTTAATACTTAACCTTCCCACATTTTTTGTAGTTGTGCTAGATCGGATAACCATTAATTAAAATTTTTAAATAATGAAGATATTTCTACGTAACCGGTAGCAGCATTTCTATCAAATTAAAACGTTTATGACCTTACCTACTCACGCGATTCTTTCATTAATAGTTTGAGATCGGATAGACTAGTTTAAGGCATTGCTTGCAGCAGTACCCGAATGTTTAATGTCTGAAACAGATGAAATTGTTTCATTTATAATTCTAGTCCAGAACAAAGATGTGGGTAAGATTAATAGATTTTTGTTTTGTTCTGCGCTAACGAGGCCCAACGATTTCGAAACTGCATTTTCAGATAACACACTATATATTTGAGATGGTTGTTGTTTATTCGCGAAACAATCAAATTTTACTGTAGTATTTTCCTCGTCCAAATTTGATATTTTTTAAAACATGGAGATTTAGAATTGATCCGAAAAAAAACGTGATTGTACAACTGTACAAATTTAATGAGTTTCATAGGCGTCTCTAAAAAAGTTTTCTGTGGAAGGTAAAAAATTTTAATAATTTGTATATAATGTGTAGAAAATTACAATTACCTATATATTCATTTGGCCAACAACATATTTTAATTATTTATGTCCTCAAACAATTTTATTATATTGGTGGTAAATTTCGTTTTGTTCCATTTCAAAAGGTCTTCAAAATGCCATGTTGTAATAACATTAGTAAGCAAAATATCCCTTTTATTTCTCCCTTTCGCAATTGTAATATTAATGATTAATAGAAGGTGCCTATAATAAATTAAAATTACCTGAATCACACCAAATTCCGTTTATCTGAATCACACCAAATTCCGTATTGCTGCACTGCACTGCTAGGCCATTTATTGACAATTGAATTTATGGCCAGGTCGCCCAGTGCGGCTCTGTTTGTGCCGCGTTTGCCCGCGCGCTCATTCTTCAACTGGGCGACCAGACCTGTATATGGGTATGACTAAATAAATATGGGAACAAGTTTTTCAAATATTTCAATACCGAGTTGCTGCATCAGCGACCGAACCTGATACACACTGCCAACCTCTTGGTTCTTCAATTGAGATCGGAAAGACTATGATACATAATATAGGAAAGAATATAACACATATAGACATTACTCATGACTCATATGTGAAAGACCTATGTTAATGGAAAACTGACTAGATTGAGGCAAGAATTAATATCTACCGAGCATAGCAATAGCGCGGCAGCAAGGGGGGAACACGGACTTTGTGTACAGGATTATTATAAGGCAATATTTGTATCTAAATTAAAATTATCCCGCACTTAGGTCCAGTACTTTGAGTCTTGGTTAAGGCTCGATTAACTAATCAGGCGATTAGACTGTGATTATACTTATATCATTATAAGTACAGTCTAATCGCCTGATCAGTTAATCAAGCTTTAACCGACACTCAAAGTACCGGGCCTTAGTGTTACAATAATCTGTTTTGTTTATAACATATGTTCAAATTTTGTACGTCGACTTGTAAGCACATTTTTGTTTGGCAGATCCAGTCTTGATGTACTTGAAACCGTGTCATAAAAAAGCACTAAACGACACCACACTAATTAATTAGTTAATTAATTAATTAATCAATTAATTTATAAAAAAAAATAAATTATTTATTATTATTATTATTATTATTACAATTGCTATTTTTAATTAATTAAGATAATTAATTAACTAAAATCTAATACTAAATAATAAAAATTCTTCTGGTTCAATTAAGAGAAGTAATAACGATAATATAGTAAAAACGCACTATTCGAATTAGTTTTTTACAAATAGTGGCCTTCTATAAATCAGTGGGTAATCCACAACTTTTGTTTGGACGTGCCTTTTTTATTATTATTTGGCTACGTAGCCTTATATTCACCATTAGTTAAGATCCCATCGCAAATTTAATCAGTTTATAATGCAGCATTATTTTTTGATGTGGGCTTATATTTTCAAAATTAAGTTTCAATTTTTAAATCTAGGAGAGATGAAAAATTGACACTGCTGATTATAATTGGTAAATAGTAGAGTCTGCTTTGTAGGTAGTCAAATTTTTTATTAAAAAAAAAAATCCGAAATGTTTTTCCGAAAAAAAAACGGTTGGGAAAAATATTTAGAAGTGTCCCGATTCTTTAATGGAGCAATTTTTTGATGTTTTTTCTAAGTTTTATTATTTTCTTTGACTTTTCATTTAGCAGCGTATTTTTGTCACTTCCTTTCCGTCGCATTCCTCAATTTTGAAACAAACGATCACCAAATAGACAAAGGCAACAGGTTCTCTATTTACAGAGGTTACTCTGTATGATACCTGGCGGAGAAAGGTATTCCATTTACACCAATAAACTAAGTAACCGGTCGGCATTGCTAGCCGTGGTCTCCTCTCTCAGGTAGAATAATAAAACTTGTCTGAACGTTGCCACTCACTCAAGTAGTCTGTATACAAGCAGGATCGAAGATTTAAAGGGAGACCTAAGTACAATGTCGTATTTAAATTCGACTTATTAAAGTTTGTTTAGAGGTAAAGGGACAATAACATTCATTTCGACTTTTACCTGTTGCTAGGTCTCCATACTGTTGTATTTTTTCTTTGAAATTCTTTAATTTATATACACCAGAGGTCAAAATCTCTTTGGAGTCATATGGGTAAAAATTTATTTTGTTGCATAAGTGCATACTGTGTAACCCTTCAGATTTGCAATTCTATTTCTGTTTAATCTTCCTGGCTTACCTACGTGAATATCTCCATGTAATTTTTTCGATACTTTCTGAAATTTGCTGTGGTTGGATTATCAGAATTATTATACTGCTGGTTATTATA